ACGAGGTGGTGGCCCACCCACACCACAGCAGCAGCCACTCGACGAGCCACGACTCGTACGGCAGTGGCTACAGCGCTGATGCCGGAGCCTCATCGGCCTCCTACGGCAGCAGCGGTCACGGTGGCTGGGGACGCTCCATCGACGCCCAGGACCTGGCCTATGGTGCCCAGAAGCCCGTGCAGGCCTAAGATCACACTGGATCACACCACGCAATCACTCAAGAATCAAAATCACAAACGCAAACGCAAACTCACACGACTTGAGCTGCAGAGCTCGCGCGAAACTCTCGAAGAGAAACACACATTATTTATCGTTCGTTTTAATTAATTTATTAATTTAATTTATTTTATTTATTTCTCCAAGCAATGAAAACGAAAAAGAATGAACCACACACACGCAAGATAATGTTAAACCGGACAGACACCAGAATCAGAACCATATATGTTAGTTGTTAAACTAATGATGCTAAAGTTAAGTTTGTAAAAAGAGCGGCCAGCGAGAGTTAATCCACAAGTTTCAAATACTCAGCCTTAAGTCTAAGCTCGCACAGCACTTCCCGCACCATCAGCCAATCGATCACCCAACTACTCTATATCTAGTGCACTCTCATCTGACAGTTTCTACACCTATACCTATATCTACATCTAAATCTACATCTTCATCTGCATCTAAATGTCTCCATCTGTTTCTGTCTCTGTCTCTGTCTCAGTCTCTCTATATCTGTGCTTCCATCTGAAACTGCATACTGCCTATACCAAAACTCTGCCGATTGCCATGCAATCGCAGAAAAGTACAAATCCTAACTCTATAATCTATATCTGTACGCTATACTCTGTCTGCTCAACTACTATATGTTCTTCACATGCAATTCTAGTCTTACAATACAACAACACCAGCAACAAGCATGCCTACTATTAGCTTTAACTCACTAGCTCTAATTCTATCGCTATCTATCAACCTAACTACCTATCTACTGTCTATCATCAGACAACCTTCCACAGCTTCCATTATTTTCTCGCCTTCAGCAGAGTCATAGTTTTGGTCATTCGCATGCCATTACTTGCCATAAGTCTCCGAACACACATCGCCGCACCAAACTGAACTCATTTTCCGGCTCCATCTCAGGGCCACTATTTCCTCACTCGACACTCGACACTCGACTTCCACTTCGACTCTTCAACTTTCTCATTTCTCCTATCCGCCATCTCTTTCTGCTGCCTTTGCATCTGTCACTTTCTAGCGCTCTACTTTCCCAAAAAATGAAGCAAACCCCACTGCTACTCACACATGCACACGCCCAGTGAATCCCCGTAATGTTAAAAGTATTTTTTTTCAATATTTTAACTCCTTAAGCGTACTTTATACATCCGAGCGACTCGAACCACTTGTCGGCCCAATTGGCGTCGGGCTCACCTGTTCGTTCTGTAGACCTAAACAGATTTTTAATTATCAACTTAAAAATGCTTCGTTTATGACATTTGGAGGGCCCTCTAGGCAGTGGCTGCAAGTTTCGAGTCGCCAGCACGTCGTCTACTTTAATTTAAACAATTTAAGCAAAGTCGTACGGCGATTTCACAACTTTAAACTTTACAACTCTGAAATTCCGGCAACAGTAATAAGATGATGATGAAGACGAAGAAGAAGCGTGAAGCTGCAGATGTGGGCAACTCACACAGATCACAAAACTCACTCACAAAAGAATGTAAATTCCGTAGATTACGATCCCCACTCTCTGTCACATATGCATGTCATTAAACACAACAAAATGATAAAAACAAAACACAAAAAAAGTTGAAAAACAGCAAGGAAGATTAATAAATAAAAAATCAATGAAAATCAAGACCAGTCTCTATAATTTATGGCATACCACGGGGTGAAAGCGAAACGACAAAACCGAAAGCTCTATGCATAATTCCAAAGACGAAAACTGGCCGTTGACAAGTCCATCTTGGGCCGAAATGCTTTCATTTCAAGTGAAATTGATTTGCGACCCAGTTGCCCCAGCGAATTTTAAAGATCTGCCCGTTAATAGGTGTAAATAATTATGACTCGCGTCCGAGTCTGGCCAAGACAGGTTAACCAAAACCCAATACACCCCGCTGGTTTCGGACGGCCCCAGAAAAATGAAAAGAAACTGAAACAGAAACAGAAACAGAAAAGCCAGTTGAACATCGGCCACCGACAGTGAAAGTAAACAGTTAGGAAACCGAAACAGCAGCCGTCAAGACCCCGAACACAACCGCGATTGCAATGAAAAGTCTTGAAAATCGAGGCACATGGCCAAGACCAAAAGCGTTTTTCAAGCCGCTCCAAATGTGGCTCTTTCCTCCGCTGCCCAGCGAATGGCCGCGAAAACAAAAGACAGGTTAATGCGCATTAATGTTAACAACTCATTTGAGCAGCTGCCAGGCTTGAGCAAACATTGACTGACCACTGTCAGTCTTTTTCTTCTACTTGTTGTGGCGAACGAAGGGCTCGCTTAATGAACAGAAAACAGAAATTACAAAAATGTTGGTCTGAATTCATCTCAAAGACCGCCTGATGCCACCAAATGCCAGTCGGGGTTTGAAAACACATATTTTCCTAGATTATTCCTGCTTTTTAGTGCTGGGATGATTTCGTTTTAATTTGAATATTAGTTACATATATAATTATTAATTTGAGGGAAATATTCAAGAGCTTTCCACTGTATTTTCCACTGTATCTAGCCGTTATGTCCCAAAAGATCCACAAGCACTTTACTCTTGAACAGCCTATTTTTGGTTCTGATAGATTTCATTTAGTGCCGCTGAACATGGTAGTATATGCAAATCGACTACCAAAATGAAAGCCCGATTCAGTGATTTGGAGCGAGCAACGGTTGTGCCGCTAGAGAAATACCGCCTCAGCTGCGGCCAAACTGGTGCAGCATCAGCTGCATCTCATCGGCTGCAATTTCACATTCTGAAAACCAGATAAAAACCACAAAATTTGCAATAATTCATAAGGAGAGAAAATGGTGGGAGGGGAGTAGAAGCGTGCAGAGTGCCCAATTTGAAAGCAATTTCACTGTCAACTACGGGCGCAGTAGGGGTTAAAGCCAAGTGGATGAGATCGGATGGGCTGGAGGTGATGGCGATGCCTGCAAGGGCGTCGTCGCAGCGCAAAATGTGTGCAGAATGCTCAGCGAAATGAAAACGAGTTTAGGCTCCGAAAGCAGGTCACCAGAACGTACACAACAGCCATGGGCGGTCCCGAAGCCAAAGTTGATTGTCGGCCTTGCAGCACTGCGCTTTCCAGCAAAGCGAAGCCAGAAACCAGAAAGCTAGCAAAGATCGGCGAAAAAAAGAAAATATACAAAGCGAGGAACCAAAGTGCTTGCCTGACTAATAATATGATTAGGCGCTTGGTATTACTACTGCCATTATTTTCCGCTTCAGCGCGTTTTTCCCACACTCGATACTCAACTGTCGGCAGACAGTCCACGCATCTGAATTTATGATTACACCAATTGTTGGCGGAGATTTGCTCGCCGGGCATTAAATGAACTGAGCGCACTTGCGAGCTTTTATTGCTTTTGATTAATTGAAAGTTAATTGACCACGAGCCCCGCAAAACTGCGAAACAGTTTCGTTCACTCGAGAGCTTTCCGCACGCCTGATTTGCTGCCGCTTCTACCAAAGTAGTTTGTGGTCAATTTAAATTACCGTATCCAGTTAACAACAATCGATCGTAGTTGTCGAACGGCCGTTGCATCGCCATCGCCTCAGCGGTTATGTTGTACATTGCGTGAGGACTTTGATTAGCAGTTCAATTTGCATTCATAATAACTAAGCTCTCGAGCGGCAAGTAGTTGACTCGCGTTGCACGCCGGGATGCCTAAGGTTGGGGGAAACATTTAGGACACTTCAGCAAAATTGTGGTCAAAACAAATAACTGCAAATTATTTTGATGTATTTAGGATCTTACTACTCTACTTCATTTATTTGTAAAATGCCAGGCAGTTCAAGTTGTCACTGACATTATTGGCCATGCAAAACATTTTTAGCTTCGCTAAAATAAACGTAAAAAGAAAGAGTATAACTGGTAAATATGATTTGTTTTCTAACAAAACAAAAACATTAATATACAAATCGGTTATTCATTTTATTTGTTATTGAATGCGCAATCTATTTGAAAAAATCGAGAGAGACCAATGCAACAATGACGTCACTTTAACATCCCCTACCCCCTTATCACCTTTTTACAACATTAAGCATGTAACTAATATGCTACCAACTATTATTTTACCATGTCTGGCTCACACCTCCTTGCTAATTTTTAAACATTTCAATTATTTCAAAAGCCACCTGTCGGTCATTTCACCACACTAAATGAATATAAAATCTTAACTTTATCTCAACTTTCGTTGTTTGTGGTTATTCTTCCATGTCGGGCTGACACCTTCTTGCTAATTTTTAAACATTTCATTTATTACAAAAGCCACCTGTCGGCCATTTCTCCAAGCCAAGTTTTTATAAGATTTTAAGTTTTTGTAGGCTTTCGTTGAGTGCGATCAAGTTCGTGTCTTGACTCTTTCGTTTAAGGAGAAGCACTTTTATCCGCAGCACCTAAAAGTAAGCAATGGGAATTTTTTTTTGTCAAAATGTATAAGAAAAAAGAAAAGTTTTAGCGAAAATTGGGTGACGACAGTGAATCTGCCCCTAGGATTTATAAAAAACCGAAAATGTTAACGGTCTAGTAAGTTGAGGCAGAGACAGAAAAGAATGGCAACGGCAATGGCAACGGCAGTCACGCACGAGCTCAATAGCTTAGAACGGGCTAAAACGTGGGTATATATGTAATTGCAAACGAAACTGCATTTCGGCGGCTTTCGCAGTGAAATCACGAAAGCGCAGCCCCGCTGGCCAACAGCATCTGGCTAATTGCCGTGATATTTAGACTAAGACAAAGCATGTGCTTTTGTGTTTTTCAATTTCAGGCAGCCGGCCGACATGCGATTTATCCGCCACAGGTATAAAATGCATAAGATCCACCGGCCAGCACTCAGTTGATCACCTAAAGAGCAGCGCCCGGCGTCCTGTCCCCAGTTTATGCCTCATCTCAAGGATCGCCCAAGGATCCTTATCTTGTCCAGCGTGCAACAGCAATACTCAGCGCAGTCATGATCAAGTACGTGTGGCATGTGGCTGCTCTGATGATCGTCTTCTGTTGGCTCTCCAGCGCACGCAGTGCCACCTACCAACACCAGAACCCGAACAGTCTGAACTCCGCCCCTCGGCCCCAAATCCAGAGCAGTAACCCCGGAATGGGTTCTACGGGCTTCTGGAAGGACATGTCGCTGGTCTATCGCATCTACCAGCAGTGCTCGGGCGACAACATGTCCGTTTGCCTGAAGGTCAAACTGCTGACCGGCTTGGAGAAAGCCTTCCGATCGGCCAAGTCTCTCTCGCTCATGGAGGGCATTCAGTTCGTCAGTTCTGGTGGCGAAAGTGAGGAGCCCAAACGAGCTCCCGTCAGCGAAAAAGACATTGAAGCCGTCTTGCCCAGAGGCGCGGACGCCAAGGAGCAGGTCCTAAACAACCTGATCCTTAAGCGGGTGGGCAACTTCCTACAGGATCACACGCTGCAGGTGAGTGCAGTTTGCGGCACAGGCAATACTGTTGATAATAAGTTCAAAAGTTAAAAGTTTAAATGCTAAATTTAAAAACAACTTCGGGCAGATGTTTTGAAGAATGCTAAAGATATTGATTCTTATATTTTTGATTATGAAAAGGGTACTTTTTAAATGTTGAACTAACTAAAATACTTAACTTACTCAAAAACAAGTGTTTTAAGTGTTTCGTCCCCTTCATTACTCTTCTTTCTAAATTTTTGTTTGAGATTTATTTATTTAGTCACAATATTAAATATTATTATTAAAATTTGGTAATGAGCAAATTAGAGAAATTGTAATTGTCTTCAAAATATGTCAGATCAATAAACTTTTACCATTCTTATTTTAAGTCTTTTTGTAAAAGTCCTAATCTCACTATTTCTTTTACATTTTACCTCAGGTGAAATTCGAAAATGAGGCAAACTCGGTGGAGGGTCGCAAGAAAAAGGACAAGAAGGGCAACGGCGCCATGATCATGATCCCCCTTCTGCTGGGCGGCACCATAGTGCCCCTGGCCTACGGAGCCTTGGCCATGTTGGCGGGAAAGGCGTTGATTGTGTCCAAGCTGGCCCTGGTCCTGGCCTCGATCATCGGCATCAAGAAGCTGCTGAGTGGAGGCGGCGGCGGAAAGGAGTCCTCCCACGAGGTGGTCGTCTCCTCGGGCGGCCATTCCGGCTGGGGTCGGGAGCTGGACACCGCCTACAGCGGCTGGAAGCCGGCGGCCAAGGAGTCGACGGGCAGCGCCAAGAGCCTGTGAGCTAGCATTTGCATTTGGGAAGAGGAGTAGCTCGAGATGGGAGATTCTCGGGAGATTATCGTGGAGAGTGAACCAAAGAATCGAGCGCCGCACGAACTGTCTGACTAATGTCTAGTTTAATTCGCCTAATCGATCCTTAATTTAACGAACTAAATGTGTGTGTTAGGTTTAAGTAAGCCCTAATTAAATATAGTAAATTCTGCTACCCGCAATTCGCATAAAGATAAGTTGTTTATGGTGTCTTGGCCGCTCCCCGAACATGAATTTATGATGACAATTAAAGTTTCATTGAAACGGGCTTACGTGCGTGCCAAAAATGGCAGACGAAGTTGCTTCGCTTTCTACCAAACTCAATTTCAGATGTATATATATATATTAGTTATCAACAGCTGCGGTGAAAATTATACTGATTTTTTAATGGGTTTTATATGCAAGAGTACGCTAAAAAGAATTTTACTAAGGTTTTAAAAAACAATTGCTTCAATGCTATTTAGATTACTGGAGACCAAATTAAAAAGATACAAATATGGTTATTTGAAATACTTCATATTAGATTCTTTTTTATACACTATTCTTCGCTTCTCTATTATACGACAAATATGGTTTGCTTGCTTTTCTGTAGAGAAGTTATTCAAAGCTTTGAATGCGTAAAGTTTCCATTTATACCTTCAAATAATTTCCCTGTAAATTCCGCAATGCAGAAATTGACTTCAACTGCACGTGCAGTTTTCTGTTGACCTGTATTCGCTGAATGCAATATTCATAGATAAAATATTGCTCGGCACTAGACTTCTTGGCCCTGATGTTTTCCCTCTCCGGCCATTGTTAAGGCTGCCTTCTTAGGTATGCGACAATTTCACTTTTGGGCCACTACACGAAATATTAATGAGCTGCTGCTCAGTGTAGAACATTGAACCTGGCCAACGACATGCAGTTTGTTAGTTGTGGGTGCCCTCTGCTGGCGTCACTGACGTCATGGGCGGACTTTCATTAATTGAAAATTACCCAAGCGAACCACGGCAGAGGAATGTAAACAGCGCCGGGCTGCAAACTGAAGCCGGAGCTGAGCTGCCTTAACCCGGAATTCCATTCCAGCCAAGCGGAATGAAAGTGAAACTTTGAAAAGGTGTCAATTTTGAAGATGCCTCTGAAAAGGGTTGGGGCTGCTCAGCGGGTGGGGCCGAAATTGGGGATTGTTTGCCTTGAATGTGCGATGCTTTGAGGCGCCTTTATCTCTAGAGCGAATATTTCGCATGCCTATTTGGGTCAGCCGGCGAAATGGCCAACTGTGGGCGAAGCGGCCATCAGAAGATGGCTTGCAAATTAATTGAGCATACTCAATTGAAATGACCGGACTTATGGGAAATAAACGGCGCTTAAACCCTGGCTAACTAGCTGTCTGCCATAAAATAAAATAAAATTACTAATCCCTTTTAAAAGTGTTAAACAAATTATTTTTCCTCAATGATAATAATACAAATAAAACCTTAAATTTTATATGGTTTCATGTTGCATCACGCAATGCTTAAAGAGCCGCAGTTGCAGTTGTATAAAATTATAGCAATTGAATTACTTTTTCACTTTCGTAGAGCACGCACAATGCTAATATATTTGTTGAGTATATATTCATACTGACTGTATAATACTCTAACTGGCACTTACAAAGGTAACATATTAATATATTGCGTTTTATATTTTGGTAATTTTCAAATATATTAAAAATATTGATTGAATTAGAATTCTTACTTTGCCCAATTAGCTTGGTGTACGTATCAATTGTTTTCTGTGTATTAATGTACAAAATAAAGTTGCTCTCATGCCGAAGCTTATAAAATAAAAAAACCTTTTCTCATAGATTTGCCTTGAAAAGAGATTTCAATGAAGCGTATTTAAATTCAAAAAATATTATGTTGACCCTCGGAAAGCCGGTGTAAATTTGAAAAGGGCCGTTGCAGAAAGGGCATTAAGATGAGACACATAACAACGAGGCAGTGGCAGGCATATCCAAATCTACATCCACATCCATCTATGTTCACGTGCACGGAATTTACATATTCCATCAACGGATTTTGGGCTTATGTTGCCGCTTTGGATAATCGTCTGCGAAATGTCGAGTGGCTTTGCATCTAGATGTGCGCTGTGTGTTTTGTATCTGTGAAGTTGTTTTCGGCAGCATGCAAATCTGTGGCGTAGCTTTCTTTCGTGGCACTTGCTCGTCTAATGCGTAAATTACCGGCTAACGATGAGCGATGGACGATGGGACGGGAGGCAGACGTGTGGCAATTTTTGAGTGCTGCAAATTAAAGCGACATAATGCCAATGAAACTCTCGTGCGACAGTCACTGTGCATCCGTCGACGGCGATCGGATTGGCATACAAAACTGCAGATACATTATGCGAGATGCCCGCTCGAGGCACAAACAAACACATAAATAAATTAAAGTGAAATTTCCTCCACCGTGCCGCCGCAGCGCCAGCAAACTAGTTAATTTTCTATTTTACTCCAATTCGAGTTGCGGTTGCTTTCGACCATCGCCGGCCATCTTAAATGGCGCTCTTGATTAACCACCCACCGCCCACCGCCCACCCCCGCCAGATTGCCTAGGTGTGTGTGTGCAGTCTGTGTGTGGGCAACTGCAATTTGAAATGAAACCGCTGCTGCCGGCACTTTCTGCTGCACTCAAGATTTACACACTGCTGAAAGTGTGCCATCATCAGGTGGCGCCTCAAAGGGGCCTCAAATACGGTTACCACTTTACAGCTCGTTTAATTCCAGCCAGGTCTGCAGTGTAATCAAATAGTTCAGAACTTAAAACAGTCCTTTAACCTAATAAATATGCAAGGGAATTGCAAAAAGTGACAACAAAGGCAAGTTGCTATAACAGCGCCTTTCAGAGCCTTCCGTCCTCTTCGGCGTTTATCTTACATGACTTTAAAGGTGTGCCAAAGCATTTTCTGTAAAAACACAAAATCAATGTATCTATGTGTTGGAAAACTCTGTCTACTTATGTCCTTGAGCTAAGCTGATGTCAGTACCACACATACTTTAATCAAATTGAATTTAATACGTCAGTTATCTTCAGCCTTTGACACATTGCTTTAAAAACTATAAACTATTGTAAGCCTTACTGAGCTAATACAGGTAATGTGTACATAAAGTATTGTCATAAGCCTTAAACCATAAAGGATTAAGGTTCTCAAATTTCAAAACTCACAACGCTTTCCCTTAAATCGACACGTAATGCTAGAAAAATCAATATTTTAGAGCTGGCCGATCTGCCTATTGGTCCCCTGGACAATTGGCCCTCTCCTTGTGGCAGGCAAACAGCTAACTGCCGCCGGATTGCGTTGACAAACAACAACTGCCAATCCGACGAGCTCTGCCAGCGTGAACGGCGACCGCGGCCACTGCGTCCACTGCGGCTCACCTGTCCAGGTGTCGCTGCCGCGCCTTGGATGGCCACCAAGACTGTGCGACTCCGAGCGCGCTTCGGCTGCAACCTGGCCAGGTTGCCAGCCTTCGTGGTCGGGTTGTTTATTTAAATTCTAAGCTCGGCTACTGTGTGCGTGGGGCCAAAGGGGGCAGTTGGGGCAGTTGGGGCTCGGAGCACTTGCAGAGCGCTAAAGCGTCAACGTTGTCGTTGTCGTTGTCGTTGTCGTTGTCGTTGTCGGCGCTGCTGGCCAGCGCTGCCGCCGCTCTGCTGGCCGGGAATAAAACTCGATCCGCGTGCGTCTTCTAGCCACAGTTTACCGGTTGCCTTCTGACCGACAGATCGAACACGCCAATCGAGCGCAGTGCACTCAATCAAGTGAACATACACACATCCCCGAATCGCCAGGAAGTGGCAGGATATCAAATCAGCGAGGCAGTGTCCAGTGTTTGTGCGAATCATTCAGAGAATAAATACGAGCAAGGAAATACCCATCCGGAGCCATGTTCAAGTTCGTGTGCCTTTTTGCGCTGATTGCCTCCACGGCGGCGGCTACCTCGGAAGCGGACAGCCTGCTGACCAGCGCCTTGAAGATGGTCAAGGACTGTGGCGAGCGGTCCATGGTCTTGTGCATGAAGGTAAAGCATTCAATGGCCAGTAGCCCAAGAGAAACCCATCCTGATCCTAATTCCTGACCCTAATTCGCCCCAAAGGAGCGCGCCCTGCACTACTTCGATGCCGAGAACGGGGATGTGCGGCTCACCGAGGGCATTGCCCTGGTCAAGACCGATGAGATCCCGGTAGGTCGGTCGCTCAACGAGATGCAACTGCCCGAAGAGGTCGAGGCCCGGGAGGCCGAGGTGGACTCTCTGCTGGTGGAGCGCGTTGCCCGCTTCTTCGGCACCCACACGCTGCAGTTCAAGGTGCCCAAAGACTCCATCCAGGATATGCAGCGCGCCCTCGAGGAATGTGAGTATCTAGCCAGTGCCCATAAAATCCCACATAAATTACAGTTCTGGTCCGGCCAAGACATTGCCTATTTGGGTTACTAATGCAAGCGACCAGTTCGGGCAGATGGTTCTGGCACAAATCCTGTTTTCACTGTTAAGTCGCCGCCATATCGAGGTCATCCTGTGATGCAGCCACATGGCCACATGGCCACATGGCCACATAGCGGTGCATTGGCAGCTGGTTATCCAGATAGCTGGCTATTAATTGCACTTTAGCCAGGCAGTTAGCAAGGCTTACTTTCTTTTTGTGCGCAGCGGCTGCAATTTCCAATTTCCGATTTCCAATTTCTAAGCGCAGCCACATAGAAAGCGGTCGATCCTGTTCGCTGGCTAATTATCTGTGCTCCAGTTGCTAATGAGCGGTCAGCTCCGCTCCAGCGAAAGTAATGCAAATCAAATCAAATATCTAACTACCACCCAATCGTTCCCCTCTTCAGCTCGCGGCAAGAAGAAGGAGAAGAAGAAGTACCTGATGCCCCTGCTCATGCTCTTCAAGCTGAAGATGGCCGCCCTGCTGCCCCTGGCCATCGGCTTCCTGGCCCTGATCTCCTTCAAGGCCCTGGTCATCGGCAAGATCGCCCTGCTGCTCTCCGGCATCATCGGCCTGAAGAAGCTGCTCGAGTCCAAGAAGGAGAACTACGAGGTGGTGGCGCACCCGCACTACGAGCACGAGCACAGCTACGGCCGCTCCCTGCCAGCTGACGACTCCCAGGCCCAGCAGCTGGCCTACGCGGCGTATAAGCAATAAGCTGATGCCAAATATTCAGAATGCTGAGGCAACCGTAATCAGTGCAATACTCGGAGGGCCGTCTAATTTATCTATTTATTTAATTTATTTGTATAGCATAGTTCATGCCAGGCTTACACACTTAAGGCGCCATCAAGAGAAATAGAAGGAAAGCTAAATCCCGAACCCAAACAAATAGGTCTAAGGAATCAGCAGCTGGGGGCTGCCGCCGGAGGGGAACACCTGGCGTCGTTTAATCTAATCTTAAAAATGACTGCCACTCTCGTATTAATACTCAGAGCTTTATTGTTTAAAACTCTACGCTTAACTCAACTCAACTGAACTCTTGACTTAACTATTAAACTGAACTGCCTAACTCTAAACTGCCGCTAGGCGCAGAATACGCCCCCCTGGCCAAGCCCCTCCACACAAATCAATAAAAGAAATGCCGCATTTATCTCGAACATGTGCATAGCTGTTTCAATCGCATATCACTCATACGCAGCGAAGTGCTTTCACTCTTTCACCGGCTAAGGCGAACTGGGCCAGCGATATCAATTGCATGGGCGACACACAAAATCACGGAGCAAGATCGCCGGATTTCACTTGGCAGCCAGTCAGCCACTCAGCCAGGCGTAAAGCGCTGCAGAAGCCTCTTCCTCGGTCTCGGTCAGTCATAGATAAACACATGCGAGTACGAGTATATCCAATGTCGCTCCAGAAACTGGCTCACATCTCGGCATCTCGGGAAAATCTAATGAAAGTTGCGACCTGCTTTTTTGTTTTTCTTCGCATTCGCAGTGCAACACGTACGCCCCAAACAAATTGGGTGTGTGGATGGGAGCGTGGATTCCAGTTCCAACTGGGAGCACGCCCCGCAGCTGCAATTTATGGCCGTTACCCGGCATCGCCATTCGGCATATAAATGGCCAAAGCCGACAAAGCCCAAAGCTCAAAATGGCCAAAAGGCCTGCCCGGCGCGTCGTATGTCTTTTTTATTTTTTCTTCTTTTTTTGCCAACTATTTGTACACAACTGCAGGCAGCTGTGAATTTCAAGTATTGGCGGTGAAAGTGTTTATTAATACAATTTCTTTTTTGTCCCTGCGCTTGGCAATTGGAAATTTATTAGCCGTCGGCCATTGCCCGCCACCTTGCAATGAAAGAAAACAAACTTTTATAAAATTACCAAAGTTGTCGGCGACAACCGCAGAGACTAAACCGCAATGCCAAGGCCAAAAATCCTTGAAATTTACCTAGGTGGCTCGCACAACTTGGGCGGAGTCTAAATTTATCAAAACTTTATCTCACCTGTCTAATCAGCTTTGCCAGAGCAATTGGGGTGTTCTTGAATTCACCAAAGGCCTTGGGGTGTTAAGTTGTCAGACACTTTCTTAGGGGGATTTCCATATCTCTCCCACAGCATAGACCGCGAAAATGCTCACCTGTTTTGCTGCCATTGCAGTCAAGTCTGTTAACGTGCTGGCATCACTAAGCCAAAGTCTTAACTCTTATTGGCCTCGCCTAAAAGTTGGCTAGGACTTAACTGTCGATCTCAGGTAGACGTTTATTCTATACCGTTTAGTTTCATTGCGAAATCGGTTTATGTATCATCTTTGTACTCAACGTAATAATGTTTTTTATTGACATTTTTTCCATATTTGACAAACAGTAATTGAAGGCTTTCAAAATAAACAAGGAATATGGTTATACAACTGAATCAAGAGAACGTTATTAATATTATTAAAACGACAGATAAAATACGTACATATGTATCCATTGAAATATTTTACAGTCCAATGATATATAAAAGAAATTGTTTGCTTTTCATATTCGGGTTTTCCCAACACACAAGCCGTAAATCGGATTCCCCCTTTTCCGCCTGTTTGTTTTCTTAATTGACTGCGGCAATTTTCAAGTTTTTCTCGGTAAACGATGGAACATTTCTGGTAATTCTCTAAGCGTCTCCGTTTGCTTAATGGACTGGCATTAGCAATGGTAATTGTAGATATTCCGCGTAGTCCGAGTGGTGGCGCCTCCGAGAGTTTCATAATTCCTGTGGAAATACAATAACCGCTTGCATAATGGCCGAGATGTGCGAAAAATTGGCCACAAGTCGACGCAGCTTTGGGTCGTGTGCACTGACCATGACCATGCCGGCTTAAATAAGAAGCGGCCCAAGACAAAGAGCCAATGGTTGGCGTTGATGTACAACAATTTCCGTTATTGGGCCATGTGCAAAAAGCAGCGCGTTAACTGAATGGAAGCAGATTTGGACTAAGAGCAGGTGATTATTGTATAACTAGATGTGGCGGATATAAAACCCAGGGGTCAGTTGGCCAGCGGGCTCAGTTGAGATCAAAACACCCGACCATTATGTCGCCACTGGATATCGTTTTGCTCCTGGTCAGTTTCCACCAAGTAATTTGCAGTGACTTTTCCGCCATGAGTTCGGAGTTCAAGCAGTGTGTTCGTGGTTCCCAGAAACCCAAGATCAGTGAATGTCTGGGTAGATCCGCACTGAACTTCATCCACAGATTGGATGAGACCGATAACGTTAAGTTCGTGGACGATTTTGTGACTGTGAAAAGTGAAACAGCGGCAGTCAGATCTCTGTCAAATGTGCTCGACACGGATCCAGTGGACTTCCGCGGTATCCTGGAGAATGCTGGCGCAGTGATGGGTCAGCGCAGTATGGAGTGGCACATGGATGGCCTTTATCCTGGACTTATGTTCAAAATTGGTCCCACAGCGGATGCGAACAGTGTGGCCGAGTTTGTCCTCGATGGGGCGGCGCAGGGAGAGCGCCAATTTGGATTTGAGGATCCCTCAACCGGTAAGATTTCTCTGAATCAGACCTTTTAAAAACGTGGCAGATAAAATTAATAATACATACCAGATTTAGGCGAAATAGATATTGAACTATTTCATGAACTATTTGATTTGTACACTGTAGGCGTAGTTTGTAAAACTAAACTTTTGGCTGCTTAATAGCAAAACTTATATAAATAAATATAAATTATAACCAAATTTGAACATTTGACTGAAGTTGAATGTATTTCATTAAATGTTCAGAACATTCAGTTAAGCCCTATCATTTTTGTTGTGTTCGGTTAAGAAGAAAGTAATAAATAATAATAATGTATTTGTATTATTATATTTTCAGGTCGCGTCTTGGCCAAGCAGTACTTACTGCCCTTTCTTCTGGGCCTAAAATTCAATCTGGTGGCTCTAGTACCCTTGATATTTGCCGGCATATGTCTGCTGCTCAAGAAGTCATTATTCCTGGTAAAGCTGGCCATATATGTGAGCAGCTTCTTGGGACTGGGTGGAATCGTGGGTGGACTGGGAGGATTAGGTGGCTTCGGAGGTGCCAGCTTTAGCGGTGCGAACTTCGGTTTCGGTGGTTTTAATGGCCACCGTCCAATCGGCCCATTTCCCGGAAAGACTACCGTGTTTGGCCAAGTCCAAGAAGAGTTCAACCACCAGTACGATGTGCACGAGGCATCCCCATATCGTCGCACTGATCGAAAATTAAGATTCGAGCAACCTCGAATGGCGGAAACCAACCCCAAGCCAACCACTCAAGACCGCTTCTATGACTTTGAAAACCAACGCAGACCGAGTAACAAACTACTGGCAGCCACTGTGCAGCAGGAAGGCGAACTCCTGTTGAGTAACTTCCAGGATCCCCACCGAATGGAGGGATGGCAGGCGGTGGACGTAAGATCGCTGTAGGGCAAGTGGCTTACACTTGAAGAAATGAAACTTTTTTGTACTTGAAAATCAAAGTGCGTTGCGTAGGGTATTTAAAATCCCTCTTTCTGTGTACATAAAATAGTATCATCCTTAACTAACTTTCCCCACGGATGAACTACCTTAATTTAATACTATATTTAATGAGGAATATTAAATAAAAACACAATATTTATAAATTAATAAACATGTCAAAGTAATAAAGTGCTTGTATAAGTTTCCATTCCATTTTTAAAGCCTTCGTTACCCACTAAAAGTTATGATTACTTGTCATAATATTTAGAAGCCAGAGGACATGATTTACAATATTTAAATGATCATTCAGTTATACATATTTTTCCTAGTGCGTCTCAACTGTAATTACAAAAATGTAATGAGGGCTTTCCAAAAACGAAAGGCAACTTAACCAAAATTTCGGTTTCAGTTTTCGTTCAGGGTTCAGCGAGCAAACTTCCGAAAACATTTCTATTTGATTCCTATCAAGAGAGCATTTTCGTGCTTTGACAAGCCCGTTAATTGCTACCCCCAAAAATGATGGAGGTAGTATAAGTATCACAGCGGAGCAATTGTCTGGGTTATTTGTGGTCCAAGAAGCGCTCAAAGAGGTTTCATTGCAGTATATAAATATGTGGCGCGTCTGCTTACTACAGTGTGTTTTGCTTGGCAGTTCAGTTCTGTCTTTGAGTCACAAAGGAAATGAAACGTCTACTTCCTCATGGAGTCCCAGAAGCCTAGGCAGAATCATAGCCCACTGCATGGGTGGCTTGGATGCCTGGCAGTGTCTAGAAACCGAGAGCGAGCGATTGCTGGATGGTGCCACCAGGGATAACAGCACCTGGCAGATCACCGACTACCTAAGCATCGAACCACAGGCTGGGTTCAGCAGGCCGGAGACGGGGCGAATGGATATTGGTTTGCCCGGGAAACTATTGGAGCTGGTCCAGGGAAGAGTCCTACGTCTTCAGCTGCCACGGCAGTTGACCATTTCCAATGCCATCGATGACTTTGGCAGCGAGCTGGGCCTCGATCAAGGTACTTATGCGAGCGTAGATGATAAAGTCGATAAGTTAATGGGAGGATTTGGTAGTTTTCAAGTGCATGCAACATCCTACGATAAAGATAAAGATAAATCTAAGAAAAAGAAAAAGTCTAAGAAGAAAAAGCCTAAGAAAAAGAAAAAATCGAAGAAAAAAAAGAAGAAAGACAAGTATAAAAAGAAAAATAAAAAATGCTCCAAAAAAACAGGTCGCAAAAAGAAGGACAAAGACAAGAACATGGCGATGATGGGCGGCATGATCATGATGGCCACTCTGGCCCAAATGTTCCTAGGCAAGGTCATCCTCATCGCCGGCTCGGCCTTCATTATGGCCAAGATCGCCTTGGTCATTTCGCTGCTGGTGAGTAGAATCCGTCCCCAGAACAGTTCTGTCCAAATTGTTGGCGCTACGCTTCTCTCCGCAGGGCAGTCTAAAAAAGGGTTCGACTGGACACAGTGGTAGTGGAGGAGGCGGAGGTGGCACGGAGCACGTGGTGGTCCACTCCAGCCACGAGAGCGGCTGGCACCGCAGCATGCCCACCCACGACACATACTCGCAGCTGGAGCAGGTGGAGGAACCACCGCCGGACAGCCATATGGAGTACTACCAGGCCTACCAGATGGAGCCACTGAAGCGCCGCCTGCACCAGGCGCCGACTTACCCAGATCACCCGCGTCCAGAGGCCACAAAATCGACTCCGGGCTTCATTTAGCTCAAACTCTTTGTGTGTCTAACAATCGAACACAATTATCATATACAGCAACTGTGAGAATTTACACTCAAAAGCAGGAGAGGACGTTCTGGTAGAGTTCCAGGTACCAGTGACTCAGCTACTGCGAACGAGATTTTAGTTTCAACACTTTTTTGCCATATCGATGGGAATTGGCAAGAAAAATAATAAAATGAAAATAAATAAAAAACAAATTTTACTTTCGTGCCAGCGTTCTGAAACAAACTTGCGCATCGTAGACTGTGCACAAGAATCCATATAAATTTCAGAATATATCCAGTTATATCAAGGACGTATTACAAAATATCAAAAAATTCTTACGAGTACGAAATCCAAACAAATCTTGGCTTCACCAATAAAAAAGCAGCGAGATTACATTTCATTTCTTTTAATGCTCGCTCTGTGATAACATAATAACTACGATAACTAAACTTAATCTGGAGGGCTGTCGAGTGTAAATACAAATTCATATAGATTGGTCTAAGTGGGGCGTTTTGGAATCATTAGATCTTTGGTAGTAGAGCTGCCGACCCGAGAGGAACTCCGCGGCTCCCTTATCGGGATCCCTTGGCGGCGGGCGAAGCGGAGGCGGCCACGTGGGGCATCCAGGCCTGGTAAGCCTTGTCCTGCATCATCATCTCATCGTCGATGCTGCGGTGGTAGGATCCCCCGTCATGGCCACCCGTGTCGTACTCACCCTGGTGGCTGGACGAGTAGGTGTGGCTCTGTTGCACCTGTGGATGCTTGACGATCTCGTAGGTGGTCTTCTCGCCGCCGTCGTGACCCACCAGTTTTTTCAGCCCGATTATAGCACTAATGATCAACGCTATCTTGCCCACAATCAGCGCCTTTCCCGCCACAATGGCGATCGAGTGGTATGCCATCTTCAGTATAGCGGTCTTCAGCAGAACGGCGGCAATGAAGGGTCCCAGATACTTTTTGTCATCCTTCTTTTTGCGACCCTCGCTCTCGCTGGCTGGCAGAAAGTAGCCGATCAGATGCTGCAGCCAATCCTGGCCATTCCGCTCGCCAAACCGCAGCAACCGCGGTAGGTTCACCTGCAGCTGGTGACTATGGACAAAGTTGAGAAACCGCTCCAGCAGCAGTGCGTCCAGACTCTTTCCCGACATGTGCTCCAGATCGCGGTTGCTGAGCTGGCTCTCGAGCAGGCTGGAGCGCCCACTCCGCGTGTCCTGGCCAAGCGACTCCCGCCGCACCAAGCTAACGCCATCCACGATCCCCAGTTGCGGCACCTTCAGAGCTCGTCCCAGCAGACGAACTCCCTGCACCTTGCAGCACCAGAAAATGTCCTCGCTATCTGAACACTGTCCGTAGATATGACGCACTGTCCGCAGCAGTCCGCTTTCAGTGGAGTTCTGATGAAAGTGCGGCGGGGCTTCCATGGCCCAGGCCTGAAAGGCCGCCAGCAGCAGGGCGATGAGCAGACCCAGACGCGATTCCATTCTGTGCGTATCTCCAATCCTTGTGATCTCACTCTCGTGGTTATCTCAATGCCGTTTTCTGCAGCTGCTGGGAAATCTCTTGGCCAACTGATCTTGTGCGCCAGTTTGTCCCCCAAATTTATACACTTTATCTTGCCACAATTAGCCAGGGAGCGTTGCAGTCGGGTTTTCTTTCGCAGCCATCAGCAGTACACTAAAAAAAATATAAAATTCATTTGAATAAGTTAGCATACTGGCAGTTCATATACTGCCCAAATTATCGTGTTGGAAAATTAGCCTACTTCCAATTGAAAAGAACTTTAAATTCGTCGAAATATTCTATTGGAATTTGCAATAAGCAACGAAAGGTTTTTATAGTAATTTTGTTATTACTTAACTAATTTACTTTATTTTGTTAACATCAGGGGAATTACTCTGAAAATTTTAAGATTTTTTTTTAAGTCAATAATATGAAAACAAATAATCGATGATAGATGTCGTTGGTGAAGCACTCGCTTTCGTCAGCTGCTTAACGAGTTAGTATCTGATAGTCGGGGGATTGCCTCTTATTTGTGATGAATTTTTATAACATATTCATCAATTCCGGCTGTTTTCTCCCAGTGCAACAATAGCTGTTGGCTATTCAGAGCGTAGTATGCATGATGAGTGCATGCGGCAGCTGGAAACTGCCTGCAGATAAAGCTATAAAGCAAAGCTTCGCTGCAGATTTAGTGCAACCGGCAGGCTGGATGGAGGGGCCAATTTCATTGCTCATTGCCGTAATTAGCAGATCTGGGCAATTATTCCAGTCTTTATATCGGTGGCCCGGCTTTATAATACTTTACACCAGATCGGACGCCCACTTTCATCAGCACTAGCTGTGAAACCGAGGCGAGAGCCCAGATCTTCTCCAGTCTTGCGCTTTCGATTGCACACGCAAGGATTTGGGCATACATATTTATTAGGCGGGCGCATCGAAACCGAAATGAATGCGGATTGGGTGGAAAATTATAGAACCGCAGACAGATGTGTCGCCAGCAGCAACGAAATAAAGGAAAGTGCCGGCACCGAATTATTCTGGTACAACTCGAGTTGTAATGAACGAAATTGCTGGAAGAAAGCATGAAATTAGAGTGCCGCAAAGGATAAATATTGGTTCCGAATCGAATTTGCTTAGTTGCTCATTTAAAAACCTAAATTACCAGCTATTAGTTCTGATACCGTAATTTTATACTTCAAGGCTCAAATTTTAACTTAAGCAACATAACTGCATTAAATTGTAATAAAATACAAATTGTTTCGAAACATTATTGTTCGTACTTGGCAAAATTTTCCAGATCAATTGGTACGCATTTAAACGGATTATGTGCCAGGAACACGTGAAACAAATTCAAATAAGGGTTTATTGGATTTTAAAGCAGTTCAAGCAGTTTAAAGAGTTCCCCGACTATCAGATACCCGTTACTCAGCGAGTGGGAGTGCGAACGAGAAATTTTAACTTTTCATTTGCATGTCATAGAAATTGGAAACACAAATATAAACAGGAAAGAAATCCAAAAATTGGTCATTTCTTAAATGGTATCGGGTCAGTTTTGGCGGTTTATGGGCGTTAGAGTGGGCGTAGACAAATTGTTTCTGGTATAGCGATAGAAAAAAAACATTTTTCAAAAGTGTGGGAGTTTTTGGCGTTTTGGGGACTTTAGAGCGGGCGTGGCAAACAAATCTTTGGCGTAGCGAAATTGACAAAACAAACAATAAAATAAAAAATTTCAAAACATTTTCCAAAAGTGAGGGCGTGACATTTTTCGCCGGTTTGTGGGCAACATGTGGGAAACGGCTCTGTGAAGTCTAACATGCCTAATCAAAAATTTCTAGCAAAATGGACATAACCAAATCGGTCCTGATAATAAATATAGATATATACTTTATAGGGTCGGAAACGCTTCTACCTGTTACATCCTTTTTAACGAATCATGTATACCCTGTTAGTCTTCGAGTAACGGGTATAATTACCTCTGGTCGTGGAAAATTGTGTGCTACTGTGCGTTATAATGTTAATCCGTTTTGCTCGACACTTTTAATGTTTTTCTAAACCAGTTGGATAGATTAAAAGGATAGGCGATTGCACAATTTGCAACACAAGCGAACTGCAGGCTTCGAGTCCAACTTTGTCCGAAGAAAACAGAGTAGCTTTTCTGCCGGCAACAAAGCAAACTTAATGCATACTTTCAGGATGAGGGAGAAAGCTGAAAGTCTTGCCTGCGAATTTCGCAAAGTGTAGCAACTGAAACAACAAACAGAGGAACACCTCCGCGGCGCTCATGTATAATTTATGCTCGGGCTACTCATTTATGAAATATTAATTAAAGAAGCTGCGCTGACGAACATCTAATGATGGGATTTGCAATTTCATCGCTGAGAAGCAAGTGGGACTTGAAAAGTGTTTTTCTTTTTATTTTCCAGCGGGAAAGTGCATATCTCTGCATAAGTTTCGGCTTGTTCTACATAACTCGCCGGAGGACAAACACTGCATACTGCGTATGTGCATGCAAAAATGCAAAACACTTGCCGCTGCATAATCCGTCGGCGATAATTTATGATAATACATACACGTTTGGTTCACACGCAATCCGACTTTCGACGGACTATCCACTGCTAATGGGCCGAAAACTCCAGCAGCCCACAATTTGAGGTAATTGGCGTTTTGTGTTAACAGCGAGCAAACAACCGAACGCTTAGTGATCGAAGCCAATTGCAGCGCTGACACCGAAAGAAAATATTTCTCAAATCAAGCGCAAAGTAAAGCAGTGCACCACTTAAAACATTCCGAGTTGCATGATATAAGAATCTTCAGTTCGTTTCACTGACTTGGAGTATGTTCTATTGATACTGCTCTCTGCATATGTAAGGTTCATCATTATCATTATCATAAGCTTAAAGAAGTATTATTTCCTATCTTTCATTGGATTTTTAAATTCTAAAAGATTTTATATTTTTGTTAAGTAAAATATTTGAATGTGCTTATTTTTCTACAAATTAAATAAGACTTGCCAATTTGTATGTTATTTGTGACTTGACAAGTGTTTTTCCCTGTGTGCAGAGACGAATAACTCCAGCAACGAACTTGGCCAAGATCGTCACGATGCTTTTCCCCCAGTCCCGAGCGATTTATTTGGCCTTTGTCTCTGCGTTCGATCCAAACTGAATAAGGCAGAATACACAATTCTGCAGCCATTTGGCTGGGAACCTTTTCGCCACCGAACAATTGCATAAAAGAAAAGCTGCGGCTTTCCGCCGCTGGATTTTCACTTTCACTCTGTGTTGACATCGAAGTTCGCCCCCGCCAAGAAAACTAACCAAGCCGGAGTTGTGGGCACAGGCTGCGATGCCTGGGCAGCGGCAGCTCGCAGGTCGCAACTCCGGCCTCCTCTCCTCAATCAAATTAAGTGCCGCGGGCCAATTACGTTTCACTCTGACCCCCAACAACTGATGAACTGCATCGCAGTTACCACGGCGTGGAAAGCCGGACCGTGACTATCG